CCCCCTCCGGCCACCAGAGCTGCTCGTAATTACTGTGGGGGGCCCCACTTCAGACGCGCCCCAATGAGCCGGCCGGTGCCGGGGGTGGGGGCGCGGAGGTCCCCGCTCCGAGGCGCCGGACGCTGGAGAGAAGGTCGGACGGTGCTGGGGATCCCGCCCGCGTTCTCCGTCCCCGGAGGCCAGGCCCCCGCCCGCGGGTCGGGGCGACCGAGGTCTGGCCTCAGGACCCCCGCCACCCCCGGGGGCGGAACCGGCCAGGCCCCGCGAGTCGCTCATTCGCTCGGGCGCGCGGACCCTCTCGGTAAATGGCACGTCCGGCCAAGAGCGCCAGGTCCACTTCGGGACTGAAAACAAACGCGCGTCTCGGCCTGGCGGTGAACGCGAGTAACTCCAAACGGAAAGTACAGAAAAGGATTGAGAACTCCGACGGGAAAATCCCACGACTCACCTCAGAGGGCAGAGAAAAGAGAAACAGGCTCGCCCTCTCCTAGGAAGAACCAGATTACAGCAGATTAGGGACAAAGGGGTCGGGAAGGCGGGGCCGACCTGCGGACATGGCCCCCGCAGGTTAGAAACTGCCGCCTTACACAGGGTCCATCACTGAAGTGGGCGCTGATGGCATTCGATTGTTCTGAGTACATTCACTAGGACCAGAAACTACAAAGTGCTCTGAGCCCGTTAGGCAGCCAAGTACAGGCCCCACACTTGGGGGGCGGGTGTAACATTGTCGCTGGATGTTCTCCACCAGACCCTTGGCAGCAGCTGGCTGAGGCAGACCACGAGCAGCCTCAGCTCAGGCCATGTGATCTGAGGGCATGAGGGAGGCTTCCCATCCCACCCCACCCACCTCTCACCGCGCCTGACCTGCTGCTAATTACCCCGGCACATTCCTGGATTTCAGGTATTCACTCATTCACCTATTTAATGAGTGAGTGTCTTCGGAAGAGTGACACATTTGCTTGCGTAGGAGTAAGGGCGTAAAGGGGACAGAAGCATCTTGATCACGCCCTGGCATGAATTCCTTTAATCCCGTGTGTCACGTGGCCGTCTGTCCCACAGTGCCCAGCAGGGATCATGGAAGTTAGGTGACGGGAGGAAGCTAACTGAGAAAAGAGTTTCTAAGCACCGGGCACTGAAATCACTTCAAAGCCCGTACTCGAGAGGAATGTGGATGACACGGAGGAGAGGGTTAGGGCCAGCTGGACAGCAACACGAGGCCCTGGTGCCAGGACACGAGGGACAGTTAACGCAACGCCAGCCCCACACTTCAAAGGCAGGCTCTGCGTCCTGCGAAACACCGTGAACCCAGTGAAGTCGACGCCCTCATGCCTGCAGCTAACAACCCAGTCCGAACCAACTGTATAAACCCCAAAGGTAATTGTGCAAAAGCTACCAAATATTTTCATACCCGTGGGAGCGTCGGTCCGCCTGCTTATTCGAAGGCCAACAGAATGTGACTTTTAAGGTTCATGCTTGTAACGGGAATGAAGTAAAAAGTAATGTGAAAATACGTGATTTTTTTTTTTTGTGCCTTAATTCTCAAACACCAATATTCTGTCCTCCAAGCAGAATGAGGCCCAGCAGTCTCCT